AATACAGAGTCTTTATCTAATACACTGTCGGACAGGCACAGGATGAATTTGAGAAGACGTACAATTGATTGCAGACACTTGGATTCCAATTTAAGCTGTGGCGGATGTGGTGTTTGAATTAACTAGTGACTTCTTGTTGTTGTTGAATGCTTGATTTCGAATTCTAAATACAATACATTCGTTTGTGCTCATCCCTTAGTTCTTGATTCACATACTTCTAATCATCATATGAGGCTAAACAATTTAGAAACTATATTAGTTAGACTGATTCCCCTGTGATTGTCACAAGAAGACTTTTGTCCTTTCTTATAAATCGGGACAATCAGTGATTGAGACCAGTCGGATAGGATTATGTCCAGTTCCCAGATTCTACCTAAGATCTCAGTCAACCTAGCTGCTAAAGCTGGACCACCATCCTTAAATATCTCAGGGGCTAGTCTATCAGGACCTGCAGCTCGCCCTCCCTTCAGATTTCCTAACGCCTTCTAAACTTCTTAAAGACTAGGAGTACTAACATCGATTTGCCATTCAGGATGACTGGAGATCGTGGGTAACCGAAGAGTGGCTCGAGGCCAGTTGAACTGATCCCTAAAGTGTTCTGCCCATCAATCGAGGCTCCTGGGTTGAGAATAAATGATACAGCCATCCTTCTCTGATATAATCTCACTCACATTTGTGTTCCTAATACCAGTTTTCTTGATAAGTCAGTACAACTGTCTGTTGTTGCCTATCGCCGCTGCCTTTTCCATCGCTTTTGCTTTCGCCACCCACCACTGTTCACAGTCGTTACGTAGGCTTTTCACCAGGCTCCGCCTAAGCTGACTTCACTCTTCGTCATGTTCAGAATCAGGTGTGATGCGTTTTCGAGCATATATCAATTCGGTGGATGCGACTGAAATCCACGGCTTCATTCTAGCCTTGTGGTTTACCTTGCTAGCAGATATTACGGTTGTTTCCATAGCCTTTTTGATATCATTACAACCTGCTTCCGGATGGGAATCACTTGCATGGTCGCCTAACTATTTTTCTAGTTGTTCCTGAAATATATTCTTCGCATCATTATCATTAAGTAGAACCTTAAGAGATTTCTTTGCGGTGTCTTTCCTAAGTCGAGTAAGCCTCAAACAAATACGCGCTCGCACAAGGGCATGATCTGAATCTAAATATGTGACCCAGAACGAGCGACAGTTCTCCATCGATCCTCTCCATTGAGGGCTGATGACGATGTGATCTAGTTGCGTCCAACTTTGGGACGACTTCGAGGGTCGCCAGGTCAACAGATGTTTTTGCTTATGCAAAGAGTTTGTGTTTGCTGGAAATAAGCGAGATTCTAAAGTCCTAGCTAATAATGCCTGTTGCTCTATTTGACACAATGTCCTTCAGTTGCAACGTAGAACTTCGTACGTACGTACGGGGTTCGCCAGGTCAAAAAAATGTTTTTCCTTATGCTTAAAATTAGTGTTTGCTAAGAATAGGCGGTTATCTGAGCACAGTTGCAACAGACGGTCGCAATTGTCTGTTCTCTGAGCCGCGACACCATAACATCCATCAAGGTGTCTTTCATTTTCACTTAGTCTACCTACTTGAGCATTGAAGTCATCAGCCATTATAACTATAGCAGAGCGCTTAACTTTTTGGAGTGTGGTGCGCGCTACTTATAAGTAGTATATGACGCGAGTGAAAACGTAATATCTGGCAGCAGAAGATGGGGGAAGATCAAGAAAGGAAGAGTGGGAATACAATGGAATTTGTAGGAAAAGCATGAATAGTGAAATGTCAGACAATGGATTGATGATTGAAGATTTGCAAATTAACCGTTTACGATATGGTTTTCCTATTTTACCAATTAACTCCTTCACTACAGGAGGTCCGAAAGCTGTCTGTAAAACTCATCTTTTACATCCTCTGGACTGCAGTCAGTGGGGGCGTAGACTGATATGACGAAGAGGCAACGACGAGTGTCCCTATCCTTTCGAATCCTTACTTTCACGTTTAGTCGGACAGTGCACAAGCGACTATCTACTGGGATCCAGTCTAGGAGAGATTGTTCTGCCCTACAACAGCGAGGCCCCTGGAAGCAGCATCATGGCTACCGGATACACGAAGAGTATATCGAGTTGCTTCTTTATCTTAACACGGTGAGGTCAAGTGAATGATGTTACTCGGATCCTTTGTGCGCGTTTTCGAGAGGCAGCACACATCGATTGAGCGAGATTCTAAAGTCCTAGCTAATGATGCCTGTTGCTCTATTTGACACAATGTCCGTACTTTACATGCTCCAACATGTAGTTTAGAACGGGGTTTCAAGAGACCAGGAATGACGTTTCGTGAACTCGCATCGTTTGCATTAGCTGTGCAGCGAGATAAAAGAAAGTGAGTAGAGTTAGTCGTATGGATATGAGGGATATTATGGGGTGTAGGAAGGATTTAATTTTGACCAATTTTGTCCAGCGTGCTGTTATGGGTATGAGGGCGGTTGTCGCTTCCCGGCTGCCCACACCATGGAAGGTTCTTTCTTGAGGGACATGAAAAAAAATAGGTAGATTTTTGTCAGTCCTAAAGACCAGGTTGCGTGAACGCAGAGCCCAAGGGACAAGTGCATGAGGCCGGTCACGCACGGCTTTTTTATCAAAGGTTTTTTGAGGACTAGCTCCGCCCTTGAAAGCCCTTAGTGGGCACCCTTACCGCCGGAGACGGAAATCCGTGCAACAAGGTGAGGTGTGAAATTTTTAGGGTCGACCTTTTCTAACCCTTCCTTCCTTGTGAGAAGGCAGCATCGCTGCAGATGCTGGCTGTCTGAGGGAAACACCTTACTGCTGTCACACTCCTCTGCAGTCAGCAGTACGAATTCGCCCTCAGACCTTGAGTAGCTGCTTTTAGTCTCGTCGTTCTCCGATCGACCTGCCTAGCATGGTAGAACCTTCAGGAACATATGTTCTAGCCAATATATCTCGGTTGGGTAATCACGATAGGCAAGCCCAACCACCACGTCAAGGTAGCAGCTACAATCGGGCGAAACTCAACCAGGATCAAATCAACAGTTAATGCTTTCAGAAACAGATTGATTCTGTGTTTTGGTTTTATTCTAATAAAAAATTCTCATTGTCGACTCCTAGTGTTATTCACACTCGCATATCAGTTAATATCACCCGTCGAGATAAGCAGTGGTTCGGTATGTGTAGTGTCTTACCTATTTTAGTTGAAGATTACTAACCTCACCAACTGAATTGCTACCTTTCCCTGGTGTCCTAGATGTGACCATGTCATTAGTTAGTAAACGCTTCAATGGCCCCTACGACCAAAAACATGAAGTCTATGCATGCTTTGTTGTTTCACAAAACATATTTTACAACCATAGATTAATACAAAGCAGACTTTTACGCAGTATATTCGCTGTTTGGTTGGGACTTAACTAAGTTATTAAGTAGATTAATAAACACAAGTGCCCTTTGATGAAAAGGCTTACACCAAGATCGCTGAAACAAGACGATACAGACTTAAAGGACTACAGAGACACTCATTTAGTGTGGTTTAATTGCTTCAATGGAAATACTAAACTTTCAATTAATCCAAACACGACTATATTTATCATAGACTTCTTTAAGTTTTGCGATTGTGAACACGAAAAACCTTTATTAACAATGGTGTTGTACCGAAGCTCATTCAAATTTGTGGTGTTGTTTCGTTCTCTGAGCTGGCTGTTTTGGTTGCGGAGCTTTCATTGTTCTCCACAACATCATCAGCACAAACTTCAGATAGAATTGAAGCATTCGAATTTCTCCATGTTTGACCTGTAGCTTTTTCTGAGGTTAGCAGATAAACATCCGATTGAGAGTGAAACAGCGAGTTAGTTTAATATACATCTCACTACTATATAAGACTACCAATTTCATGGATCGACGAAATTAGTCTGTACGAGACAATCCAAAACAACGATCTGGAGAAACATGTCCGAAATAACCAAATAGTAGTTTTCAGTGGATTACTTTTAGTGTTGGCATATTAAAGTAATGAATTCAAAAAATTAGGACATGAAACGTTGAAGCTGAAGTGATAAAATTATGATAAGAGTGTGGTATAAAAAACTTAAGATCAAAAATATTTTATCAAAACTTAAACACTATGTCAACTGTGGTCTTCAGAACACGAGATACTAAAAATAACGTTAATGAGTCTTGTGTTCATAAATTATTCGCATAAGGTTTGCGAATAATTTACAGGTTAAAGGAGCTAAATATCACTACACGACACGTAAAATGGCATAACTGACTCTAAATGAGTATTATTTACTGCTTTGTTAGAAACTTCAGGCAAACTAATCCCCAATTTTCTGCAGCCAGTTATAACCAAGAATATTCTCATTCTGATCTACATCTTTGGTAAATTAACACACTAAATAACTTCCATAATGTAGTTTTGGAGATAATTTTAGATGAGATAATTGTCTGTCAACACCAAACCCAACTTCCCACGCCGCTTATCTCACAAAAACATACCAGTATTATTTTATCATTTAAAGTAGAAATCATATTTAAAGCGGCGCATATGTTTGCGTATTGTGTCATTCCGACATTCGCAGGAGTAAATGAATAGTAAAAAGACGACATATAATTAGTTCGAACCGTTGCCTATGTGATTTACGCCCATACCACGCAAAAAAGCAACAATCATATGTTCTAAACATCAAAGTCCATGACTTATGTATGGAATGATGAAGTGATTTGTGCTGAAACACATTTTAAGACAATTCTGAACTACAATAAAGTGATTTCTTGTTACAAACTCCTCAAATGACGTCAACAGACCAACGAGAGATATTTTCCAGAATGCGTTCCGTTACAAAAGACATTACGAGACGAGCAAGCTCTGGAAAAATATTGAATGAAGCAGAGTACACTATGGAATCAAAGCCTAAAGTGAATAATTGTAGCCACGAATATATGCTTACTCTACAGGTTCTCCTTTCCTGTATGCAACAATTCATAAAAATCAGCTAGATTTATATTTAAAAAATTAAACCAGAAATTATACCTGGCCACTTGATGTAGTAGTCAGGTTTAATTACCACCCGACCCACCCGAGCTACACTTGCTGGAACGCTTGTTCATTGAGTTCAACCACATGAGGAAAGGTAACTGGATTGTGATGAAATCAAGAGCACTGATTCTTGCAGTATAGGGAATAGCACTGTGAGGGGGACCAGGAGAAAAGTCATACTTTATCTACTGTCTATTCAAAACATAAACTTAGTACATATAGGGCACCAAAAGATATAACACAAAATAATGATATTGGGAGACAAAGAAACGAAAGGTAGAAAATTTCATTAGTAGACTGGACAGTTTAAAGTCTTAAATGATCTAGTCTAAAACTTTGTAACTTCATATTCTCATTATCAGTCTTTCTAGCTATCCAGAAACATAGTAAGGCTTCAGACATCAAGGTTATCAATGGTTTCAGCTTTAAAGTATATTTTGGGTACGGCTCTTGACCCACGCAATTTTCCAAAACTCAGTCGGGAAGACACACTGGAAAATATGTATTATTCATCACGTTTTCTTCACTCTGTGTCAATAAATGGTGATAATAAGTATTCATGATTATTATTTATTGCTGCAGAAAATCTGTGATGATTATTATATATTTGTTAGTGTGCTTTTCTGATTTAGGAAATTGCGCGATTCAGGAGCTCCAGTCAGGCATACTTTAAAGCTGAAGCTATCAATGATGACAGATCTTAGTCTCAACGGCAATACTTATCAAGGTGACCATTTCTGTAACTTAATGGACTACAACGTAGAACTTGGTGCATGGATTCAGATACTACTGATATATAGCGATGGTACCCGTTTTAAATGAATAAACCGAAGCACCATACTATTTTGAATAGGAGTAGAGATATTTAGAAACATTTAAAAATAAATTCTCAGAAATCAGTTATTGTACGGTTAATTCTCGAGTAGTAGTGTAAAATATACTATGCTGTTTAGAATAGGAGCTTGGAAAAAACACTAGTAATGCAAATCAACTGGCGCTATTCCTATTACAGTAAATAAAAGTCAACAATATAGGTTAAGATCTTGAAGCTAGGTAACAGCTGTAATTTATCGAATAAGCCTACTCCCCAAAAGTTATAGTTTAAGAGAATTAGGCAATACGGATTAGCCTACAGAGTGATTTGCTGATAGCTTATCGAACCCCTAATTTTAGTCTTGGACATTACTTTTCCATGCTCTTAGACTATCCGTCCATAGAGGCGATAAGAACTACATAAACGTAACAACACGTAGGATGATCCGAAGCCAAATGCAAGTAAATCGCTGAAAATTGGTATATATACCTACATGACCACGATTTGAACGAGTATATAGTGATAGAATAACTTGATCATGGAAACTAACAGATAAAAAAGATTACTTAAACTAATATGACTTCACAGTGTGAACATTATAACTTTAGCTTTAATGTTACAGTACAAGTAAAACACAATAAAACGCTACTTGGCACATTACGTATGAAATGAGAACAGAATTTAATTTTACCGTAAAATGCAATACTGACTTACTGTTCACGTTTGAACTGCAAAGAATGAACTATCTCCGGATTCTTCTGTCTGATGTTCCACAAGTGAGCAACGTCATCGCCACAAATAGAAACCAGACCACCCTTGATTTAAAAATAAGTGAAATATCCATCGTAGATAAACGAAACTTCAAACTACTCGGTTTATGTTTCATCTCACTTCCAACTAATAAACAATACAAGAATATCACTTAACGTAATAGTAGGTTGTAATTTAATGAATACTGAAAAGGGCACTATCATTAACTCCACACTAAGCAAGTTATGAGGACTGACACTTCTGTAGACTTCAAACCTAGAAAGTCAATTAAATTCTGTTTCTTGTGCATAACTTGTAGAAACAACATAGTAAGTACTTCTACGATGCGAAGTGATTTAAAGTTAACAATGAGAATTATATCTATATGAGATTACTAGTAAAACCTCAATTTTCTAAACGTATGCCTGATGTAAACTTGACGTTGCCAATAAAATTTATGGGTTAAACAACAGATTTGAAAGGATTTTTCGGGAAATTAGATAATTTTTGAAGACTTAGCCAGTATAGCTTTGCAAACTGCATTGAAATGTAGGCCCTCTTCAGTCAATTATTTTATACGCATTTAGTGATGTGATCTATTTCCACAAATTAAAAAGTTGAGCAAGAGTTGGAAACGAATATTATCTCTGATTACTACGTGTGGGTGTGAAAACGAGTTATTATAGATTCATGAGTCACTTCTGGCTTACTTCAGTTGCAGATCTAAGTAGCTAAGAATAATCACCAAACATAAATAGAACTGCATGCTGTTTATGGTTTTAGGCTAGGAAATGCAAGACTGGATTCCATACAAACTATTGGCGTAAAACTTAATGGCGCGTATACTAATTTTGCATTGAATATCACCAGCTTACCTCATTGACTAGGAAAAATATTTGAAGGACAGCTGATGCTGAAGGATGACAGATGCTGCAGTCCACACCTGGCCTTCCGAAGCTAAAGCGAGCTCATATTAATTTGAACAACTTACATTCTGACGAACCCCGACTTCGTTCCGACAGCAACAATCCGTTGGACGGGATCAAAAGCTATACAAGTTGGTTGACAAGGAAAACCGTGTACAGAGACCTAAAAACATATGCCGATAGAAAATCGGTGTGGCGATAAGGTCTGTGAAAAAACAAATGTTTACCCTTCCAACTTGGAAATGTTCACTTTTTAAATACTCATCAATTTCGATGACAGACTTCAGAGATGTACTTTGTTGGGAAGAGCTAATATTCCAAGAACGTATTCCATCGATAACTTTCAGCAATCTTTTTGACTTCGTGGCCATGAGGTTTAGATATCAAACGTATGTATTTTCGGGGCTCGACATCACTGAAAACCAAAGCGCCGAAGGAGACCCTTAAGGTTTTACAATTAACTGGTTGAGTCAAACAAATCAAGAAAACACAATAAGCCAAAAGCTTAAAGAAAATCCTTAAAAATTTCATTCTATCACCGCGAGCCAGTAAAAAGTCTAAAACATTCCTAAACCATGTCTCTTTCTAAAATGACAGAAATGAAAATTCATATTAGAGAGAAATTCGATTGTATGAACTACACTGAAATGAAGAGTTTATACTCTAGTCCAGCTCCTTCTAAGTCTTTGTACAAAATTATCTGCACTCCAAAGATTGGCTGACCTATAGTATCTCCAGAAACAAGGATGCTAACTTGAAAGATAATTTCTTAGTGTACTCTAAATACCCTACCACCGGGATTTTTTGCCATACTGTATCACAACTTATTTAAGTAACAGATTTTAAGATGATTTTCTTATAATAATCGAATGCTGCTAATATTGGTATTATTCAAGTGTGCCAACCACAAGACAGACAAAGGATAAATGAAAAGTCCAATTTCCGTTCACACGTCTTAACAACTATTTGCGTATTAGGCTTGGCCCATTTTACTTGCTTGCGTCCTATAATTAGTTCGCTAATCTAATGAGCATTTTGTGCTGCCTGAGGGCGAAGTCGTACTGCTGACTGCAGACAGATGTGACAGCAGTAAGGTGTTTCCCTCGGACAACCAGCATCTGCTGTTACGGGAGAAATGAAGATATTTGGCTGATTAAAACCTTTGCATAAATATCATAAATTTCACTGTGTTTTTTGGGTACATTTGTTTTACTTAACTTCTGAACTTGTTTGAATTACTATTTTTGGCCATTTTGAATTCCTGTTTGTCTTCGTTTGTTCGTTTGCAGTTTTTTGATCCAGGAACCTATAAAATTGAAGGTTATTGTAATTATTAGAATTATTGTTGTTAGAACGACATTGGTCGTCTATTTGTAATTGACGAACGACATTTTGGTCGATTATTTGTGAATTAAGAATAAACTTTGGAACCTACTTTGGAGTTTCGTTTTGTTGTCAATTTGAGTTCGTAAATTGCAAATAGATCGACACACCGTACTTCAAAAGAAGAAGGAGCAAAGCTTGGACGTAACATCTGCAGCGATGTTGCCTTCTCACAAGGAAGGAAGGGTTCGAAAAGGTCGACCCTAAAACTTTCACACCTCACCTTGTTGCACGGATTTCCGTCTCCGGCGGTAAGGGTGCCCACTAAGGGCTTTCAAGGGCGGAGCTAGTCCTCAAAAAACCTTTGATAAAAAAGCCGTGCGTGACCGGCCTCATGCACTTGTCCCTTGGGCTCTGCGTTCACGCAACCTGGTCTTTAGGACTGACAAAAATCTACCTATTTTTTTTCATGTCCCTCAAGAAAGAACCTTCCATGGTGTGGGCAGCCGGGAAGCGACAACCGCCCTCATACCCATAACAGCACGCTGGACAAAATTGGTCAAAATTAAATCCTTCCTACACCCCATAATATCCCTCATATCCATACGACTAACTCTACTCACTTTCTTTTATCTCGCTGCACAGCTAATGCAAACGATGCGAGTTCACGAAACGTCATTCCTGGTCTCTTGAAACCCCGTTCTAAACTACATGTTGGAGCATGTAAAGTACGGACATTGTGTCAAATAGAGCAACAGGCATCATTAGCTAGGACTTTAGAATCTCGCTCAATCGATGTGTGCTGCCTCTCGAAAACGCGCACAAAGGATCCGAGTAACATCATTCACTTGACCTCACCGTGTTAAGATAAAGAAGCAACTCGATATACTCTTCGTGTATCCGGTAGCCATGATGCTGCTTCCAGGGGCCTCGCTGTTGTAGGGCAGAACAATCTCTCCTAGACTGGATCCCAGTAGATAGTCGCTTGTGCACTGTCCGACTAAACGTGAAAGTAAGGATTCGAAAGGATAGGGACACTCGTCGTTGCCTCTTCGTCATATCAGTCTACGCCCCCACTGACTGCAGTCCAGAGGATGTAAAAGATGAGTTTTACAGACAGCTTTCGGACCTCCTGTAGTGAAGGAGTTAATTGGTAAAATAGGAAAACCATATCGTAAACGGTTAATTTGCAAATCTTCAATCATCAATCCATTGTCTGACATTTCACTATTCATGCTTTTCCTACAAATTCCATTGTATTCCCACTCTTCCTTTCTTGATCTTCCCCCATCTTCTGCTGCCAGATATTACGTTTTCACTCGCGTCATATACTACTTATAAGTAGCGCGCACCACACTCCAAAAAGTTAAGCGCTCTGCTATAGTTATAATGGCTGATGACTTCAATGCTCAAGTAGGTAGACTAAGTGAAAATGAAAGACACCTTGATGGATGTTATGGTGTCGCGGCTCAGAGAACAGACAATTGCGACCGTCTGTTGCAACTGTGCTCAGATAACCGCCTATTCTTAGCAAACACTAATTTTAAGCATAAGGAAAAACATTTTTTTGACCTGGCGAACCCCGTACGTACGTACGAAGTTCTACGTTGCAACTGAAGGACATTGTGTCAAATAGAGCAACAGGCATTATTAGCTAGGACTTTAGAATCTCGCTTATTTCCAGCAAACACAAACTCTTTGCATAAGCAAAAACATCTGTTGACCTGGCGACCCTCGAAGTCGTCCCAAAGTTGGACGCAACTAGATCACATCGTCATCAGCCCTCAATGGAGAGGATCGATGGAGAACTGTCGCTCGTTCTGGGTCACATATTTAGATTCAGATCATGCCCTTGTGCGAGCGCGTATTTGTTTGAGGCTTACTCGACTTAGGAAAGACACCGCAAAGAAATCTCTTAAGGTTCTACTTAATGATAATGATGCGAAGAATATATTTCAGGAACAACTAGAAAAATAGTTAGGCGACCATGCAAGTGATTCCCATCCGGAAGCAGTGTTACGGGAGAAACGAAGACATTTTGCTGATCAAAACCTTCATGTATAAATATCATTAATTTCACTGTTTTTGGGTATATTTGTTTTACTTAACTTATGAACTTGTTTGAATTATTATTTGCGGACATATTGGACTCCCGTTTCTCTTTGTTGTTCGTTGCAGTTTTTTGCTCCAAGAGATAATAAATTAGAAGGTAATTGTAATTATTATAATTATTGTTGTTAGAACGACATTGGTCGTCTATTTGTAATAAATTATTTTGGTCGAATTTGTGATTTGGAATAAACTTTGGTATCTACTTTGGAGTTTCGTTCTTGGTATAGAAATTTGGGACCGTGAATTACAAATAGACGACAACAGTGCTTCATAAGATCAACGAGCAAAAACTGGACGTAACAAAAGTTCTTCTAATTTATATTTGTCATAAAGTGGATTCTTCTGGTCGTTTGGCTCCAGAAGTTCTTCTAATTTAAATTTGTCATAAACTGGATCCTTTTGGTCGTTTGGCCCTAGAGGCTCTTCAATTCAATTTTGGTCGCTGGAAACTTTTGGAAATTTGGGTCCAAAGGTTCTTCTAACTTTTAATTTGGTCGTTGGATACTTTGGACAATTCAGTTTTGGTTCTTTGGTTATATTTTGGATACTTTTGGACATTTGTTATTATTGGCCGAATACGTTTGGAATAATTTCATATTTGCTTGGTAATCGATTTCTAACAAAAGCATCTAATGGAAACTAGAAGCAAAAGGCTGAAGGAGCAG